CTAACCTAACCTAACCTAACCTAACCTAACCTAACCTAACCTGGAACCCCGTAACTCGTGCAATTTCCGAAAAAAAAAAAAAAAAAAAAAAAAAAATTAAAAAAATTAAAAAAAAATTAAAAAAAAAATGGCAAAATCCCTGGAACCCCGTAACCCTGAGGAATAGCTGTAATTGGCCAGTTTTACCACTACAAATGTTATTAAACCCGATTAAGGGTGCCGTGTAACAGAGCTCAGTAGTTAAAGAAAAGAAAAAAAAAAGGAATATTGGCATTTAATTAATTTATAATGTATTACAAATTCTGTTCGAAATTATTTCCTGCAAATTTGATACAATGTTTGGCCTTGAGTAAAAACGATCTAACAGCTCGCTCCGCCATGCCAAAAGAATTTCTTATTTGCGAGGCCGCATTTATAATTTTGTTCTGTTGAATCTGCAAGACATAATTTGAACAGAATTTCTAATACATTTTTAAGTGAACAAGTTAAATTACTTGTTTTTTTTTTTTCTTTTTCTTTTTTCAAATATTCACGTCAACTTTCAATGATTGTATTTCTGTCAAGAAGCATTTACGGACATATGTTTATTAAACAATCTTAACTAAACAATCTGACTTCCATGACACGCTCTTAATGTGTGAACCTCGAATTATGTAACATCCTGTATTAGTACTCGCAATATTAATAATCACTATATTAACCGTTATTAATCGCGTTATTTTTTTTTGTGCGACGAGTATATTCGTAAACATGTTGATGGCGGATGGCGACCGCGGATAATTTCACGGAATGTGATCGTTGCGATATATCGATTAACGTCGAGCAATACCGCGCGACGTGAAAGTAGACGCTAAGGCTTCTAAGATGAACGTGACGCGATGGACTCCTTATTCTTTCAAACTCTACTCCCCGCATCTAAAGAGATACGCTTTACGCCCCGTCCAGATATATTTTACGTCCATGTACCGCATTAACTCTCTTTCACTTTCTACCACATTTGGTACACTATTTAGATACGAATGACGTAGTCCATGCTACATGTCGACGAATGTAATATATTACTTTATAATATAATATATAATCTATAGACGCGCGCACATGTTTACAGTATAGCATAGTATACTATAGTGTAGTCCATAATGTTTTATCTAACGTAATATAGTCTTATCTGTAAATAGTAAACGATATCGATTAATTATTTTCATTTTTTTTTATTTTAACATTTGTTTTATCTTACAATACGATATAACGCGTTGCTAAAGCAGCGATCGGTATTAAGTATATCATCAAATTATTATTTTTCCATCTTTTTAATGATATAACAATTATTTATGGTATTCGACAAGTAGGTTTTATACACATTTTTGTAGAACGACCAAAAAAGCCACGAGTGCCGTCGGGTCCTGTTGGCATTCTTGTCACATTCTCGGGCAAATGCATCATTGCGATACCATTATTGCTTCTCGATCGATAGAATCCATTTTGTTCTGAGCTCGAAGAACAGAGAGACAATCTTCTGATGTTCGTATCATAACCAGAATCACGACTGCATATCGACAATCTTCTAAAAAGCGATCCGTAGTCAGCCGATCCACGACGGTTCGCGATATAACGATCTCTCTCGCATTCTGTACAAGTACCTATAATAGATAACAAGCGTCATAAATTAATTGTATCGAATCTCCAAATATATTTGTTTATTTAAAATTTATCTTACTTCAAGAAAAGTCTACTCAATGCAATGTGCCGCGAGTGATCAAAAAAGTGACTGCCACGTGATTGATACTCCGTTATGATAATGCGCAAATTATGAATATATATATATACATATATATATATATACCCTGAAATGTGTGTGTGTGTGTGTGTATATATATTCTTGTAAACATTTTTTACTTAAATACAAATGTATAACAATCTCCATATTTTCCTGATTTTACACGGAACAAATTTTTTAAATTTTATTGACATTACACTTGTATTAATTATACACACACAAACCTGTAGAAGAACAACAAGAGTAACGGCGATTTTCATGATGATAGAAAGTATTCGAATAACCTGGATGAAAGAAAGCTGCTTCGGAACCAGATGAACACGTGGAATAACGTCTACCAGAATCTGAGCTAGAGCCGGAACAAGAAGACAAACGCCGAAATATAAAGCCGTTATCAGAATTGGATATGGAGCATGAAGAGAGTTTACCAGATAACCATACGTCTGGTGATGGCGGTCCTGATAGTAAACAAATAAATTGATTAATAATATTGTATGTTAATTACAACGTACTTTTATATTAACAATAAATAATTTATTTTTAATTAAAATTTTATTTAAATTTTAAGTTAATTAATTTAAAAAATTGAAATTTTTTATATGTATAAATCTATAAATTCTGGTAAACTTACAATAGAATATTAAAAAAAAAATACACTACAGAAATTAATTTTATTAGTAAATTAATATAAAATATCATAAAATTATATGTTGCAATAATGACAGCATATTGAATTTTGATGATAAAAGACTCATTCAAAAGTGTTGAAAATATTTATAATTAAAAAGAAATCATGAAAAAATTTTAATGACAATATCTTGTGTAGTATAAGAAAAAATTTTTTACAATATATATTTAAAATATATACAGAGGGTTCCAAAGCACTCTTCACGTTTTCTAGTGTGCTTTGGGACTCTCTCTATATATATATATATATATATATATATATATATATATATATATATATATATATATATATACATAGTACCTTGAGAAGAATAACTCGTATAGATGTGATACGTTGGATATCCTTGAATGTTTTTTTTTTTATGCCTTGTTTTTCCATCTTCAGTTTCAGATCCACTAGGACAACTGGACGAATTGTAATTATTCTCCCTTGGTATTCTATTTAAAACACTTTTCCTCGTAGGTTGATGTTTCCTTTTCTTGTCAGCTAATTGATGTAATTCAAATACTTTGGCGTTACCCAAGGTCATTTGCATAGCGTTTCGAACGGAAGTGGTGTCTGTAAATTCGACCATAGCGTACTCTTCGTTGGAGGTCAATTCTGGTCTTTTGGAGATTGCCTGGCGCACCTGTGTGTGTGTGTGTGTGTGTGTGTGTGTGTGTGTGTGTGTGTGTGTGCGCGCGCGCGTGCGTGCGCGTGTGCGGAAATAAATATATAGTTGTCAAAATTTTATTCCTTGTTTCAACATTATTAGATTTATTATCAGGAATATCAATATATCAAAATATTGCATAAAATAAGATTTATATGCCTATTCTTTTATTATTGATATACACTTTCAATATTATTAAATGTGATTTAACATGTTAGCTGTTATGACATTTACATGATAAATGTAACATACAATACCCAAAACATATGTCCTACAAACTTTAAAAACGTATAAACATAAATTACAAATTAAGTTTAGAAAATATATAATACAGAATACTCTATTATTGTTGATAAAAATCGGGAAAAGATATGGTTCCCTAAATACGGATAAAAGAAAAAAAAAGTAAACAAATAAATCGAAAATATGTATATAAAAAAAAATAATAATAATAATGTATTGATCGACAAGTCAAATAAGAATCTCGACCAGATTGAATAATCACTACTGCAGTGGAAACCTTATATGTTTTAGCTTTAAAAATCGATTCTATAACTGTTTAGCATGAGTATTACATGGAGTATAAAATTGCACATTACATCACAATAGTAATCCTTGCAGATTATGTGGCACATAGAGTCATATACATAGTTATGTAATACAGTGCAATTATGGAAAATTTGACCAGTGAGCACAGATTTGTGATAAACAACCATTATCCAGATTATCTACTACTTGCTATTAAGAGTTCGCGCAATGTTCTGACCCGTTAATTATCGATAATAATTCTAATACTGAAAGTTACGCAATTTTAATATTTCTATTGATAAACTATTATTATACTTTTGTTATATATCTGCATTTTGTTCAAGACATAAAAAACTGATCGAAAATGAAATCGTAATCCATTCATTAATTTTACAATTTACAGTTCTTTTTATATGTATATATCCATGTGCATTTAGATAAAGTTACTAATTAATAAATTGAGCAAAATTCGTATCTTTTTTTTATATAAAACACGTTTAAAAGAGTCAAAACTATTAATTACTCTAATCTGAAATATTTATGTTCGATTAAAGAGATCTAGCATTTTACCTCGGAAGGTGTAGGTTGACCAGGTCTGAGGACTCTTATCAGCGCGATTTCACCGCAAGATTTGAAAATCTCGGCGACAGATTCAACTGTCAACTTGTCTATCGGTAATCTGGCCGCTAATATAGTTCTAGAAGGCGCCGTTTGATCAAAAGGTGGCAAAGGATCTACTCTACGTAGCTTAGTCCCTTGTGCGTTGACTTCAAGTTTCTTGGATCTCGCTAAAGCCGTCCCGACCACTCTCCAATCTCTACTGAGGTGTTTTACTCTCTTAAAGCTGGATATCAATTTTAAAGATACATAGCCTTCTTTGTTTCTTTTAACGTGTTTCAGCAGAAAAGCGTCCTTTATAATATTTTCGTCGGAAAAGTAAAATTCCACCTGAGCGCATATTTTATCAGCCAACTCGTCATTCAACGAGTCGAGATCATTCGTTGTTTTCTCAATTAGTTGGGATTCCGATTCTATACCAGATTGTTTCTGATTTTCTAAATTTTTCAATGTGGCATCATCTACAGAATCCGCGCCCGAGTCTTGCTCCATATTAATCCCTTTCACAGATCTAATCTCGCTATCATAATCTGATAAGTCGGCCTCTTCGCTCTTAGAGCCTCTTCTGTCAAAGGAAAGACTCACATCACTGTCAACGGAAGAAATGCTGTCTCTCGTCTCAGATTTCTTCATAGGCGGAGGTGAGAACGGTAGATTGCCAACCTCGTCTTTTGATTCTTGTTGTGGTTCCATCTCCATTTTTATCAAAGTGTATCAACTGGCTATTTCTTAGAATTATTTAAAATGTTATAATAAGCCATTTTCATCATGATTTTACCCTTTATTTAAATTTTACATGTATTCTCGTGCCTTGGACATATTTAAAAATATGTCACTGATAGATCGTTCTATTCTCTGTAATAAAGTACTCGTACTATTTTAATTACGGTTGTAAGAAAATAAAAGAGAATATTAAAACACAAAGATGTATGTATATAATATGAATATGAGAACTTACGCAAAAGCGTAGTTTCTCAAGTGTATTCGCATCGCGCACTGACCTCCGACGCTGCTGGTGATTCGTTTTATAGCCGCGGTCGGTCAGGTGCGATGCGTGGCAAAGCTACAATGATCTCGCGGCCTTCTTGAATGCCGATCAAAAATAAGACGTTCGGAAAATGACCGAAGGGTACACTTGCATTAAACCTTGAACGTGCGCATGAAGGAACGAATGAAAGTTTATATTAACCCTTTACACACTGCGTATTTCTACGTGACGTTGATAATCGTCCGATAGAAAATTAATGTTTTTTTATACTTGAAAAAATGTTTTATTATAATTTAGTTGTATTGCATTCAAAATTTCTCTTTTATAATATATAAATCGAAGTTAATTAAATTATTAAAATTCTAAACATTTTTAATTGACAATTGGAGCGGAAAGTGTAAAAGATGTATCTTTACAGTTTGAAGCTTGTAATACACACAAATTATTAATTTTTTAAAAATTATTTCATACAGGTTACATAGAGTATTAATAATTTCAATATGATATTAATAATTTCAATATGTAAATTAGATATTTTGTATCTAAAAAAATGTCATTTTTGATTTTTTGTGTAATACAAAAGTAAATCAATTTTATAAAGATGAAAATATATAAAATATTATTGATACCCGTCTTATGGAAAGAATTGTATCACTAGTCGCAAATAACCACTTGGCATCATTTCGTATCCATCGTGAAAGCATTAAACCATAACCGACGATCACTATAGACAAGAAGGACAGGATTTACGATGGCGAACCAGACTCGAACTTGAGTAAGACCTTACGGACATATTCGCGCACATAAACTATACACTGCATCCGTACGCCAATGGCATAACAATATATAGGTCAAGTGCGGCTAGTATCACGCATATATGGCCGTGAAGGATAAAACAATCCGCAAGTCGTCGAAATGAAAGGATTTGGTCTCTCGGCTCGTCAGTGTCGCATCAAACTGGATTGCTTTGAAAGACGGAGTGATAACCTTGGTCTCGACTAAAAATTGACGAAGGAGAAAAGTGAAAGACATGGTATATGAAACTGTACACACACACACACACACACACACACAACATGGGCGGCATTGATATGTGGTTACTAGGACGCGAGAATCCATCGTTATGTATCGCTCGTACGTAACTGTTGTCATTTGTAGAGCACTCCTCCCAAAACTTTGTCGCGCGCCTACTTACTGTCTCTTCTCGCTGCACGCTTATACTCGCGTGAATTGGTCAATCTTTTTTAATTAATTTCTCAATAATTATTACAAAAATCGCAAAATGGTAAAGGACTTTCCTGCTCGGTTTAACCCGCTCTACCTGCACATTACGAGTGGGGCAATTATTATCAGACACCCTGTATACACATGGTATAAGAGCTAACATCAAAATTCTTTATCTCTCAACAATGAGAAATAACTTTTGTAATAATTAATAGTTTTTCTACGTTCATATTACATAATGTATCGACACCGTAAATTAAACTGTTAAGTATCGTTTATTATTATTTGTTTGCACTGAAGAAGGTCCAAAAAAGGGACCGAAACGTCTGCAATGCGAATGTTATTGTAACGTCTCTAATAAACACAAATTCGCGCTCTAATTACTGCGCTGGTTCCTTTGCCTTTCTCTTAATATTTTAGTTAATAGTTTATCTCTGTTTCTGTACTGACCACGTTGCTTTACGCTGCCAATTTAACGAAGTATGTATGTGCATACATATAGTTCCGTCATTTTTGTTACATGAATTTCAAACCCCTACATCCCTATCAAGAAGCGGAATGAGCGCAAGCAGAACGAGCAGAACGTCTCTAAAATGACTTTTAAATATTGTTTTTATCGGTCGTTTTATCATGTATATAAATATTGAATTGAATGCGTTCTTATTGGAAATATTGATTAAAAATGTTAAATAAGTTAAATAAGTTTCAACGCAGTTTTAACCCTTTTGAAATAATGACTCGTGATTGGTTGCGCATTGGTCCGTAGTGCGCTCGTTACGCTCCATGGGGATGTAGGGACTTGGAATCCACGTAGCGAAAACTGCAGAACTCTCGCGATTGGTCGTGCTCTCATTCCGCGTTATGCTATTCCGCTGCATGGGTTCGCATCCTTAGCAATATAGGAGTATTAGTCCGGATCTACAATAGATGTATTAAGCCTCAAGCCATAAGAAATTGATCAATCACAATCAAATGTGAGAATAGGAGAATGAGGAGAATAATGAATTGTTATTGGTAATTTTCTTACGGCTTAAGGCTTACTACATCTATTGTAGATCCGGTCTTACATATATGTTAAGTACGTGTTAAAGTCCATCACACACAAAATTCAGTAAAAACGTAATGGCCCTCACATACTGGACACGATGAGTGATGGGCGATATCCAATGAGAGCTTTGCTTTTCCGAGAAAGCAGAGCTCTCATTGGATATCGACCATCGTTCATCGCGTCCAGTGTGCGAGAGCCATTAGATGTAAGCAAGTCGACCAATCCCAATCGAGTATTTGGCTCTTTGTAACCCCTCCACTTTTACGGAAAACCCAATACTCGATTGGGATTGGTCAATTTTCTTACGCTTACGTCTCTCTTTCCTTACGAAATTTCGTGTGTGATGGCCTTTAGTACACAGACATATATCACACACTTTTTCAGATTATCACTTGGGATCTGTTCTTTATAGCTGAACTGGCTGCATTGGTTCAGAACTTATCTTTCTCCTTCCAATGTAGAGAAAAAAAGATAAACTCTGAACTAGTGCAGCCAGTTCAGTTATAAAAGACAGACCTATAGGTGTACATAGGCGCCATGTCTTTAATTAGAGACCGACGCATGCGTATTAGAAATTTGGTCTCACATAGAACAAAGAAGTGAATCTACTGTATGTAGTTACACTGTGAGTATAAAGGTACATTTTCACGAGCCGCTGAAATCGATTGTTTGAGCGACAAAAAGGATCACGTGATCGAAATGAACGAATCAGCGGCCAGACCGTCGTCACTCATTCGTCCATTTCGATCACGTGATCCTTTTTGTCGCTCAAATGATTGATTTTAGCGGCTCGTGAAAATGTACCTTTACATATGTATATGCAAGTTATTCATCTACATGTCTACAATTTCTTCTTTCCTAGAGAGAAAGAGAGATAGTGATTGAGAGAAAACGAGAACAAAAAAAGATAGAGTAAGATAAAAGAAGAAAGGGAGAGAAAGAAATGTGAGAGACAAAAGAAAGATTTACTGAAATTTTTAATGTGATACAAAAAGACAAAATGTTTTTTTCTTTAAAAACAGATTTTTACCAGTCTTCTCTTAAAAGTTTCAATGTTTCAGTTTTGTATGTTTAGGACATTTATATAACAGTTATTGTTATTAATATAAGAATATTTTATACACACACACACGCACACATGCACGCACACGCGCACACACACATACTAGTAAAAATATTTTAATTATCTATAAATATCTGTAGCTTTAGAGTCAAGACATATCTTAATTATTAACGATATTGTGGACAATGTTGTTTTATTATCGATTTTGAAATGTCAGCATGACCTGAAATTTAAAAAAGATATAAAATACATTTCATTATTATATCCGATAATAAATATATCTGAAGAACACAATAATTCTTATCAAAAATTAATTATATATATA